TTCGTGTGTTTGCGCACAGGCTGCAGCGTTCGGTCGGAAACAGCTGAGAGGATTGATAAAGGGGCCGCGCGCGAATAATGTAATCAATTGTGACGTCACGGCCCGAGAGTGGAGGCATTTGTTTTGATTATTATTCCACGGTGCTCGGGAATATGGTTGCCCTCTCTCGTAAGTGGGGGTGACGTCACGGAATTTTCGTATTAGCGCCACCGAGGGGTCGCTCCACTTGACCTTGCACCCCATTATTCGCTCGGCAAGCGATTTTTTCCAAAGGGGTGCATGACTGGGTCAAAAGTAGTGACGGCCGATAAGCCGTGCTTAGGCCCTTGATGACCGAGTGATTTGTTCGCTTCGGCCATTAGCACTGGGGCTTGGCACAACTTTTTTTACACAACAAAAAACGGTACAAGAGAAAAACTGTAATTAGTGAAAATGCTTCAACTGCGTCATGTGTTGCGTGTTTTCCAAAATTACAAAAATTATTAATTAACTGTTATTCTTTTAAGCAGAGACAAAAATTTATTACTTTCCAAGAATTAAAAGTTCAACTCTAAAGGGACTTTCAATTCCAAATTTTAAGGGCAAAGGAGTGAAAATAAATACTATTAACAATCAGAAAATGAATCTTAGTAAGTTCATTTGAAGTATTTTACAGCTGTCGGCTTATTTTTTGAATTAGAAATTCTAATGTTTATTCGTCAGATAAAAACCTGAAAAAGGATTGATTTCAATTCTTTTCAATGAATAAAATTTTTACTGAAAATTAAAAAAAAAATACATAATTTTTTTCTCTTTTCATCCCAATCTGATGTTATTTACTCTTTCGCAATCAAAATTTCTCTTTTCTCGGCACACACCCTCTCAAAAGCCGCGTGGTTCTCGAAAAAGAGGCGTTATTTCACAAGCGGGGGTGGATCTCGAGGGCCTCATTAGTCGGTGAATGCGCCGCTGTGAGCACCCTCGACCCCAAAACCACTGTTTTTGGCAGCAGAAACAAACTCTATCCACGGAAATTTGTGGCCTTTATAAATATATAAAATTAATAATTTTGTTGCGCGTCTTTATTAAGGTTTTCCTTGCAGACGCCTGCAGGGTGGGGTGTGGTGTGCTCCTTAACCTTTTTGCGATTGACGTCACACACGCACACTCGTAAACTGCAGCCGAAAGTCGCAGAAAAAGCGGTGGCGAGTGGATTTGCTCTTTTTGTTGTTTCGGGGGCGACAATGGATGTGGGCGAACACCCTGCCCAGTATACAATATGCAGTGTAGCCAGTGGAAATACAGTGGACCGACCGTCTGGCTGCTTTTTCGGCTGGAAAAGGGAGAGAAATGTGTATGTACGCAATAGGGCGTATAGCATGGAGCTTCAAAGCCGGCTTATTTGCCGGCTTTTGTGAGCGACAACTATTGTACTTTGTCAAGTGGAAAAGCTTTAAAAGATATTGTCATATTTTTACATGATAAAACGTTATAATTTTAAATAAATTGCCAAATTTATATTTAATTCATGAAATTCGTGTATTTTACTATTTTAAATAAGAAATTTAAGTCCACAATGTACTGGATACAAAATTTTTATCATCATTTAAAATAATTGTTTTGTTTTTGTTCTAATTAATTATTTTCGAGTTCAAATGTTTTTACATTTTCGGGCTATCAGAACTAAAAAAAAACCACTGTTAACAAAAAGGACCACTGAATTCCTCAGTTTTGTACTAATGGTTGAAGAATAAAAAATTTAAACACATTGGTTTCTACTTTTCTTCTGTGCTCCAACATCAAACATTTAAATAAATAAGTTTCGCACAAATAAAATGAGTTAAATTTTAAGTAAATAATTTTGGTAAATCTATGAAAACGATTCACCACACAAAATTTTTAAAATTTCTTTTACTTTCTTGCATTCGCAAGTTTTTTAATTTGCTATTTTGAAACTTATTTTCCTCCGCAGTGCCGAGAATGTGATCTGACAAGGAATTCGCTCACTTCATTAAGGCTCGTTTGGCAAAGAATGCCCCTTTTCTTGTGAGACATACTGAGCGACCGGCCGCACACACTCTTCTATCTTGTCGCCCCGTAGGTCGGTCGGTAAATAGACATTGTGCGGCGCTGAATAATTGTTTCCTTGACGTGCCTGCCTTAATTGAAACTCGCTCTGCATGCAAATAGGGGTAGGTCCGCCGATGGGGGGTCTCTTTGGTGTCGGAAACTTGCTTTCCTAGCTCGCCTTTCCTTCCTTCCGAGTGGCCCCTCAGTCACATTCCTGATACTGAAATTTGGCGGGCACTTTTTTCGCCGCCCAGTGTACAGATCGATTTTCCTCAAAGCAAGCATGCAATAGGTCGCTCGCTGCTGCTGCTGGGCACTGTCGCGTGGTGCTTCCTGCCCACGAGGTGCCACACAAAGCAGCCAGGTCTCTCAAGAGATGCATTTTTTGTACTGCAACATGTTACTCCTTCCTATGCACAGAGTCTTTGCACTCCTTTAAAAAAAAAATTGAAATAATCCGATTTTTGAACATGAATTGCTCTGCTTTTGCTCGATTTATGATTTGTAATGAGAGGAATCCAAAATTTACTCATTTTGATCAACAGAATCACAATTTTTCAATTAGTATTTCCTTTAACTAAAGTTCGAGTTTAGAGTTGGTAGAGGCGAAAAGAATTGTGGTGAATCAAACTTTGATACTCGATAATTTTTATCCGACCATTCCCATGAATATTAAATGAATATATCAATTAAAATCATTCCAATTTTCTATGGAATAGCAAATCTAAATTTGTGTCTGCAACAAAAAGCTGTGAATTTTTGAACTGATTTTGGCTGCTTAATAATTTCAATTGAAATATTTTTAATGTTTGTATGAAAATTCCAGCTTGTATTTCAGTTGGTTTTAACATTTTGCACTTAACAAAAATTATGCAGTTAACCCGGTAATTTATTTTAATGAAACCATTTTGGTTTATCAATTTTTTGAAAATTTACAATTTTTAAATTGTAGACATTTTTCAACTAGCAAGATATAGTTTGCAAAAATTGGCAAAAGTCAATTTGAAAAAGTAGGCATAAGGCAATTTTTGAAATTTATCCAAGGACACGAATATGTAAGACAAATTCGCAGGCGCCTCTGACAAACTAAGAGGCGTGCGAGCTGGGGAATCAATCACCCGCCGTTAGTTGGATACATTGCACGTACGTCCCATTGAGCGCAGCCGAGCAATCCATCAGAAGGAAATCGTTTGTTCCGAATTCGCGCATCTGCCGCCTCCGAGCGAGAAGATTAATATTTCGAGTTTGCCACTTTTGCTTGAAAAGACACACGGCGGGCCAAAAGCTGCATCACACTGCGGCACTAAATTATGGACGCTTTTGGGAGAAAGAGAGAAAATGTCTCGCCAAAACACACACACGACCCAACGTGTGTGTTTTCCAGACCATCAAATAATTCTGCGCGCTGTAAAATTGCGTCCGACACCTGACGCAGTGCTACACGCCTGGCGCCGGGGATAAAATGGATAGGCGCAAAATGTGTTGCCCCAGTTGCTGCGCCTCTCATTATTACTTTTATGTTTTTCGTGCTACGGCCCTCGTATACCCCCTCCAATGCGTCTTTTTGTAATTTATTTTCAAATTTGACCACAAAATGTAATTTTTTTTCATATTCATAATGTGATTATTCAATTTATAAAAAAAAATTCAAAATATAGATTTTAAAATGGCAAGTATGGAAGAAAAATGGAATTAAAAAAAAAGGATTGTGAAAATAATTTTGGAGATCTGTTTTTCCAAATCGACTTAATATTGTACGGTTTTCAAATTAACTTTTGAGATTTTAAAAGGAATCAAATGAGTTATTGCAGAAGATATTTTTTCCATTTAAAACAGTTTTTACGTTGATATTTTAAGCACCAGGTTCATTTCCGTGGTAAAGAAATTCTCAATAAGTTCGTAGAAATCAGTAGAAATAAAGTTTAGTCCGAGAGAAAGTACAAAAAATTGAAAAATTTCTTTCGCCTGTGTTGATCTCCATCGCTCGGCCTTCCGGTAATGCGTGTATGATGGCGGAGTTGCAAAGAACAACAAGCGGACATGTTTGCGCCATTAATGGGCAGAAAGGGCTCTTTTATGTCCCGGCGCTGCAATGTTTGTGTTTGGCGACATCAGATCAATTTTCATTTGCTTCCAGCTGCTTTGAATGCAGCGGCGTGTTTGTGTGTGTGAAAAATGACGGCAGCTCATCGACCTTAATATTTCTCAACGCGGCCGACCACCGCGATAATTTGATCTCGACAGAGAGATAAGCCGTGAGCTAGTTTTGACCCAGCGAAATATATAATATAATAGACGTGTAGGAGCTTTTAAAAGTTCCGATCTGAATCATTGTAGTTATTAAAAAAATAATGTAATTTTTAAATGTAAACAGATGTACATAAGTTTTCTAAAGAAAGAATAAAAAAAATTGTCATTAAGATTCACTGAAAAATTTATTGGAAAAATTAACCAAAATAATAATGAAACTTTTCTTCATCCTTTAGTCTTTGGTAATTTGAAAGTAATAATAGATGTTTATTACAATATTTACTAATTTTTAAACCTTGCAGCTCTAATTTTAATCAAAATTATGTTCAAATGAATGAATTTTTACTATTAAATACATTGTTCTAAATTCTTTTGTCGTAAAACTGCTTTTCGAAGCACATTTTGACCTTTTAAAATGTCACAGTTCACTGACCGTGGTCTCAAATGGCAGCCTCAATGACAATGAAAAAAAATCAACCGGCACGAAATATCGCACTTTTGCCTGAAAATATATGTAGTGTGTATGATATGTTCGGGTATATGACTTTTTTCCTTTGATTACGATTTTTTGTTGATGTTTATCTCAGAGGTGGTGTATGCATGGTATACATTTAACAACAACACAGAACAGAGAAACCAATAAACGGATATAACGGAGGGGGAGAGAAAGAGTTTGGGCAGAGAGAATTAAATTAACTCACCCGGGCCGCGAGCGAGGTGTTGGGCTTCTCGAGCAGGTCCCAGAGGAACTTTTGGTACTGGGCGCATTTTCCGTCGCCAAAGTCCTCCTCGTCGCGTTGCCGCAACGACTCGGCCTCCTTGCGCATCTCCTCGTGGACGTGCTCCTTGCGCTGGTGGTACTTGTGCTGACAACACGACTCGAGGTACAACTCGTCCACGCCCCAGTACTCGAGGTCGTCGCTGAACGCCAGCACGCACATCTCGTCCACCAGATGCAGCTTGCCGGTGCGGTAGAAGTTGAGGATGGATGAGAAGGACTTGGGGTGACGGTCAAAAAAGTACTCATTGTCCACCTAAAAATTATAAATAATAATAATAAATAATCACACCTGTAAATATTTTAAATTCGGAAAGTCTACAAATTTGTATTGATAAAACGTATAAATTTTGACCGAGAAACTGGCACTCTTATTTCTTAAGAGTGAAAACTGGGATTCGCTTTTTTCCACCAAAAACATTCGAAGCTGATACAAGCTCTACGTTTATACTTAAAACCTGATTCGTTCTGCAAATTATCGCTGAATTTCAATTTTTCAATTCTTATTTTGAAAATTGCACTGCAAAATTTTCTTTTATATATGTGGAACAAAATTTCAATTGAAATTAAAATAAAATTAAAGAAAATAGTTTTTCCAGATAAATATATTTGCAAGTGAAAGATACAGTTATTATGTTATAGGAAACTATTAAATTTTTAAATTGATTATAATTCAAAGTCTTGATTGAAATTGAATGGGTTTACACAATGGGGTTGATTTAATTGAATTTATAGAAATCACAGATCACAGCTCACTTTCCTTAAGACTCTATTTCATTTGGCGAAAAAAGCAGGTGAACCTCCAATGAAAAGGTGCTCAAGTTTGCAATAACGATTTTAATCTTTTGTTAAATTATGTCTGTTGAAAAAGGTCTTGCTGAGGCTTTTTTTAATAAAATATTCTTAATTTTCTTAGTCTCTGAAATTATTATCATATGTGCAAAAAATGAATTTATGCAGTTTCGGATTAGTCGATCCAATTTTCAAAATCATAATCAAAACTCTGAATATTTGATGATGGAATTGAAATTTTTCTGATATATTATCAAAGTTGAAAATATTTATCTACAATTCTATTTATCGGCATAGTCAAATCAAGTGTTTACAACAATAGGTGCAACTTTTAGCAATTGTTGGAAAAAATTTAAAAATCTGACTACGATTATTGTTGTAAAGAGTTGATTAGATGACTCTGTCAATAATTTCAATTTTTATAAATTATTTTTTAGAATAAAACATTTTAATTTATACTGACCAGCGAGTAGTCGTCGCAGATTTCAGTGATGGCCTCGTGGGTGGTGCAGTCGCGCAGACGTCCGAGCCTGGTGTGCGGCAGGCGCTCGAGGGTGCGCCACAGCACCTCGTGCTTGACGCCGCCGACGTTGATGACGACGCGTCGGTTGAGCGCGCGACTGCGCATGATCATGAACGGCTCTGGCGGCAGCGACGACATGGAGCGCGAGTGCGTGCGCTGCATGGCGCCGACGGCCGGCGGCGACGACGGGAAGGGCGCGTAACGCACCTCCTTGACGCCGCCCTCCATCTCGTCACCCTTGGCCAGCTCCCACTTGATGGTGTTGGTCGGAGCGGCCGAAAGTGGCGCCGCCGCCTCCGCCGCCACCTCCTTGCTCTCTGCGTCGCCCTCGGACATCCTCCCTCGGCTGCCGCTCAGCCCTTGTCCAGGTACCCTGTGCGTGGATGCTTCTTCATAATTCTACGCAGCCACTCATTTTGATCTCTGAAACAAAACAAAAATCCAGCAAATATTTAAAATGGGAAACAAAAGCGTTCGGGTTTTCCTAAGAATGTTTTTTTTTATAATTTTAACTTTGTTATTTTTCCCCTTATTTGATAATTTCAAAGTTCCGAAAGTTACTTTATTGATACATTATCAGGTGATTCCTGCCAATCCTAAATAAATCATTCATAATGATAAAAATGTATAATAAAAATTATATAACTATATTAAAGGAAATAAATGACTCAACAAATTATCACATTTACACAAATTACGTTCAATACACACTGCTTGTGAGAAGCATTTTAATGTAATATCCACTTTACAGGGTTAAATTAATTTAAATTCAATGCATATTATATTGGTAGAAATCTAAGAATTTTAAACAATTAAAATAATGAAGTTTTAATAAATAACTATTGAGTAAAATATTTAAAAAGTATAATTTATTTCTTATAATAAATTTAGAGCTAAAAATTTAAAAATGTTATTTTTAAACTGTTTATTTATATGCAGGCGTACAAAAAAATCTTAAACACACTTTATTATAATTGTTTGGTTTTTTGGCGTCACACAAAAAATGACTAAGCTGCATGACATGTCCTTTAGTGAATTTTTATCTCCGGCTCTAAAACGAGTTCTAACTTTTTAACAACGGCGAGTGTTTAAAGCCATCTGATTGAACTTCAAGTCACGCGTGTAAAAACGCTTGGGCTAAATGTCAGCTGAACACCAGTCACACCGCGTGCAGATATTTCGTGACTGCTCATTTTTCGTGTGTCTCTCTCGTGTTTAAGTCGGGCGCGATACCGCGATAGTGTTCCTTTCGCGAGCGCTTCGGCGCGGCCGTTTTTTCTAATTTTCTCGTAACAAGTCTAATCCCCTTTGTATAAAATAGCGGCGGCGGCGGCGGCTTAGGAGGGAAAAGAAGGCCGGGCAAGTTAAGCGTGGTTCGTGAATACAAATCAGTTGAGACGACGTTGTGGGATCAATATGGGGGCAGATAGCACTCCTCGGCCTTTTGTTGTCCATCACGATTTTTCCGAGAGAGCATCAGGGATGCACAAAAGTAGGCCGCGTGTTGGGATAGGGAGGCATTCCGACGGCTAATGGGGTTAGGCAGGGCAAATATTTCCACATCGCGAGGCCTCCGAGATTTATACAATTTGCGGGGCTGCGAGAGATGAGAGCTAGGAATGCCTCAGCCCGTGGCTATTGAATATTTATCAGGCCACACGAGACATGAAAGAGCAATGCGAGAGAGGTCTTTGAATTAATCATGTGCACCAGTTCTACAATCGACTTTCTTGAATGATCTAGGAAATTAACTTTGTGCGTTATAAAAAGGCACGTAGACAGAAATTGAAATTAAAAAGTTTCTTCTATGCAGAAAACCAAAATTTTCCCCTTTACAAACTAGTAACTTTAGTTATTTACCAAATGACCAAACATTTCTGAGAATAAACTATTTTTATTATATTTATTTTCAATTGCTTCTTTAATAATCTCTACTATAGATTCGGATTTTTTAATCTCATCAATTAGTCCTGTTTATCCTTTATTTCCATTGATATGTCTTGCATTCTATTTTTGAGGTTACCCAATTCCTAGAATTTTAAAGGTATGCAACTGGTATTACACTCACGTTACGCAGATTGCCTAAACCAAGAGCTGCAGGCGCGTTTCGTCTTTTAACACAAACCTGCAGACAATGGCTAATGGCTCATGTTAGAATGCAACCCCTAAAGTCAGAGAGTCTATTAACTAGATTGAAAATGAAAGAAACCTTCAATTGTTTGGTGGGATTAAAAATTGCAGCGCATTTACAGGAAATATTAATTTATAGAAATTTTCTAAAATTTCTATTAAAAGCAACTAAAAACTTAAGGGAGAGTTGAAGTGTTTTTCCTCTTAATTGCGTTGAAGCACAATTTTTAGGATAATAATCTTAATGCAATTTGATTCTTCTAACTTTTAGACAAAATGAACTTAATTTCCTTTATAAATCGGCACTTTTTTATTAAAATTCTTTTGTAATAAAAATTAAAATTAGGGCAAAGGTTTTAGCTCAATTCTAATTCAATAACAAGACGAGTAGCTCAAGTGCGCAAAGAATTACTTTTTCAAAAATTAACTTGGTCAATTTGGTTCCGATACTAATTTTACCGACGTATTATTAAAATAGAAAGTAAAATTTAGGAAAATATATCACATTTTTTTTTAAATTTCTCCATTTCTCTGAATTTCTTCTGTCAGGATAAATCTCTTCGGAAATTGAAATCCGCTTGTAATGATCATTCCTTAAAAAGAAACCATCCGCACGCCAGTCAGTCTCAGACTTTTTCATCTCCGGCGGGTAAAAAGAGAGGGAACGGGGGAGCTACTCGGTGTGTGTGCATTTGTGGAAATTACAACGACACACGCAACAGGCACGTCAGTTGAGACCGCGGAATGGAAGAAACGGGCAACAACGTACAGACGCCGCCATATGTCTTGAATGGAAAGGGTGCGAGGGAGGTGGGGGTGCGAGGGGAGGCGATTCGCAATGTCACGCAGAGACGCGCAATTTAAGATGCACGGTGTACAGAGAGAGAGGCACATGTTCGTTGCCGCCGAATCGATACTCGCGGGCGCACATGGAGGCCTGTTATTTTCTCCACCACCCCCGCGTTTCTCTCTGGAAGAACACTTGATGGAGCCTGCAGCCGGGAGCGAGCAATGCTTTCACACGGCCCGAGAAAGAAAGAAACAACGAGACACTTTCTGGGTTAATCGCCGCAATTGACGCTCTGCGTCCTGTTTCTCTTTCGTGTGAATGGAAAGGATCTGTTTCGCAAACTTGGGGTTTATAAAGCATGATATGATTGGAGTTTAAATCGAAGGAAAATAATAAAAGAACGTTTAAAAAAAAAACTACCAAATAAATTAGGAAATAAACGTAGGAAATAACTTTTTTCAAAGAAAACATTACAAATAGAAACTTATTTTATATATTAAAGTCTTCAATTCAATAATTTATTTTAAATTTTCCATCAATATCCCTAAAAAAATGTTTTTATTTATAACAAAAGCGTTTTTTTTTTGCAGTACTCTCTACTGCTATTTCAACTCTCTTAAGTATAGGATGAATTCTTTTCAGTTTATTTAAGCTCGCTGAATTAAATTCAAGTAATTATTTTAAAAACTGAAAATTTTTAATTCCAAGTACAGTTCCATAAAAGTATATTGATTTAAATTTTATTATTTGGTCATTTCTATTGATTTCTATAGCAATGTGTGACGAGAAGACAAATCGAGTGCCAAATTTGTGCACGAAAAAACACCCCGTTTTTGCGCTTTTGCTCCTTAACGGTGCGGCGGTAATGATATTCATGAGTGCGAATATGATGATGCGCGCACACTAAATAGGCCATTTTGCTCAATAAGCACACCCTTGTGATGAGATTTTTCACGCAAAAAAAAAAAACGGAATGAGCTGAAGCTTCTTTGCTGCCTCGCGTTACTTTTTACGACATTTTGCAAAAGAAGCAGTCGGGCTAAAAATTATAACGCCGTTGCCGGTGCTCGAGTGAATCGCTTTCCGAGACCCACCTTCCCTTCCTTACTTGCATTGGCACGAGGGATGCATATTTCACTCCCTTTTCACGTTGTTTAATTCTAAAGGAAAGTGGGTTTGACCAGCTTTTTTCTTAATTTTTCCATTTAAAAAATACTTTATTACAATTTTATTTAATATCAACTATTTCACAAGAATAAACTGCAAATTAAAGTAAATGAAATTAGTTTTTTTTTTAATATTTGTATGGAAGTTGAATTTAAAATTATCGTTCTTTTGATGTATAAGAAGTTAAGTGTTAAACACTATTTAATTATCTCATGATATAACTTAAACATGATGTATCTCTATAATTTCATCTCAAAATTTTGTTCACTGTACGAATTACACCAAATAAATTATTTTCTAAGTTTTCACTTTACCTTGTTCATTTAATTTTTCCACCCTAAAAAGCCATATCAGGATTATTAAGAATCTATCGTTCGCGTGATAAATTTATTGCTTTCTAGAAAAAAAATAGAAACACCGAATATTTTTACCATGAAAAATTGAAGCATTAATTAATGGAAATAAGTATTTAACAATCTAAGCCAAATTTACAATTTGTAATTTGAGAATATTTTTTAAAATTAAAGAACTATAATAATCCTTTTTTATACATAAAACTGGTTTGAAGGGAAAACTTTAATAAAAATTCTCTCCAGAGAGACTGGGGTTTTGAATCTAACTTTGATCGTGTCTAGTCTGCCGCAGATAAATATTATTTGGCCGGAATGTGTGTCATTGCTGGGGCCGAGACCACGATCTGGGGTATGAGTTTCAGCCGGTGGCAACAGCAGGTCCTCGCAATCATAACTTGATCGGCGGCGGCGGCGACCTTTGACCTTTGCAGCGGCTGCACCCCTCAACGCGCGAGAGTGCAGCCAACGCAGCAGGGGCTGCGCGCCCAAACCGGCGGCGTGCATGTATTTGTACGGCGTGCCCTCCCGTATTGATCGACCCCACCCCTGGACTGCGAGCCGCCCCTCGAGCCGCCTACCAACCCCCGCCCGCACCCCAAACCGGCGAGCACCGAAAGAACGCAGTCGAAACAAATACACACACACCTGAACGATTTTTTTTTCATTGCAATTAATTTTTCCATCATTAAGATTGAGTTTATTGACGAGTTTTGAATTTAAAACCTTTAGGGAAGGCTGTGAAATTGATTTGTATATTTTTGCTGACACATTTTATGGCACCCCAGGGCAAGCTTTTCGATTTTGACGAGCTTCTCTGAATTGGGGTTGCAGCTGAAAGTGTTTTTAGGGGTGTGTAATGATGACACCCTCGGCATTCGCATGACGAGTTTGGCATCAAAATTACAGCGTGTAGGGCGGAGGAATTTCAAGAGTAATCAGTGTAATTTCCATGAGTTTGATGGAATTTTATGTATATCTTAATT